GGTAACACTGAATGGTTGGCTATTTCCTTCTAGTGATTTATTTAAACCATGACTGAAAGAAGCCTGAATGACAGTTTCCATCTTGAGTCTTTTGAATGTAGGACCTAACTGTTCTGCAGAGCATTCCTTCTTCCCCTCCCAGTGCCTCTGTTTACCCCACGATTCTTTCTGCCCACCTGAGCAGGAGAGGAGGGGTCCACAGCAACGGACTGTGAGTCTCCTCACAGACTGTCCAAGTCTGGGCATTGCCAAATAACTGAGAATTGGGATTATTTATTTTATAAAAATACAGACATTCCATTGAAATTGAGTATGTGTACCCATGATCCAACCAAAATGTACCAGAGAGGAATTACTAATTCAGAATGGAAGTAAACGAGTAAGTGGAGATGCAAGATTTACATTTTGGAAGAAATGTTACTGATTTAAAAGCTGGTGCACAGTTCATTAAAGATAAGCTATAAATGGATACTAGTTGATACACTAGTTAATATGTGAGTAGGGAAAATTAATGAAAAACATCAATCTACTTTTGACATGAGTGGGTCCTCAAATAACTGCTCCACAGGCATATTTAAATTTTATCATCTGCCCATTTGGATATGATAGTATGAGCAACCTATCAGCAAGAAGCCTGTGCTTAAAGCTCCTTCTACTTCATAACCTAATACCAAATCGGAGCGCAGATAATGCATATGAATTTAGTTAGGGTTCAAGGTTATGAGGCTGAACTCTCACTATATCTTGTCATTTGACTTGGTCCTTTTTCTATTGCCTATATAGGATATAAGGGCCTGAGAATTTTCAAAATTTAAGTCTCATGACCATATGGATTGAAATGCAAGTATTTTCTTTATTTTCTGGTTATACAAAAGGAGTATCCTGTTTCAGCAGAATATATTAATGGTTAATTCTGATAGCACATGTGAAAATAGATTAAATTCTGCATTTTGTCAAGGTATAATCCTAATGATTAATAATTGAAAAAAAAAACCCCTTTATTTTATGATAGGAAAATCTTAAAGGAATTTTCATAAAGCAGTCTATGTTGTGTTCTCTGTTTAAATAAAATGTGTATCATGATGGATTAAGAACTTGGTAAAATATATAATAAAAAGTAAAGAATGAATAAACATGGTAGTGTAATTCAGAGTGATTTAAATTTCCTTCTTTTTTTAACCTAATTTTTCCATACTATATGTGTATTATTTTTAGAGTAAGAAAAGAAATGACTTATTTTTTAGGTTAATCAGAGCTATGCATATGCTTAGATTTCTAAACATCTGTCACAAAAAAGAATTCTTAAAAAAGAAATGTATTTCACGTGTGCATCATTTAAAACAGAGGTGCTTTTGTTCAGTAGTTCTCTGGCCCCCATACTGTGGCCCAATGTGTACTACAGATGGGCCACGGTGAGCCCAGAGGATTATGGGGCAGTGGGAAGGGGCCTGAGCTGCTGGAATCCTGGCTTGTGAGCAGGCTCCTTCCTCATCTCCACTCTGCCACACATGTCGTTTTCTATGAGAGCTGCACCATGGCAAAAGGTTGCAACTCATTAGATTTCTTTGCCTCAGCTCCTGGAATATCATCTCCTGACCCCAAGGAAATAAGTAAATAAATTCTATCCTGAATAATTTTCCTTCTGACATGAAAATCAAGAAGCACTTCCCAAATTAGAATGCATAGAGATCTGACATAGCCACACTTCCAAACAAAGAGTAAAAACGCCTTGAATGTGAAGTGTATTCTTGAACCAATGCTTGCTAAATAATGTCAGAAAATGGCAACAGATCCTAGTGGCCAAAGAAAAAATCATGGCCTAAAGCACAGTCTTTGTTTAGGCATATATGCGTCTAATCTTTCAACATTAAGAATATGGCCAATTTGGCTGAAATTTTAGTTGATAAAATAGGTAAAGAAAAGTTATTAAGTAAAACTTCCAGCCTAATACCTTTCTTACTGTGTCCAGTCAAACCTCTTTCTGCATTTCCCTCATTTTTTACTAGGAAGAATTTATCAACTGCTTTCTGTGTGCAGAGAATTGCTTGTTGGTAAATCATAATTTGACCCAGAATGAAATCTAGTGCTTATGGGCAGGTGTAGCTTCCAAAGTAAACAGGTTGTTTCTCTCTAGATTTTGCTGCAGGAGAAGAACCAACCAACCAAGAAAGAACAATGCAAGTCCCACAGGTTAGAGAGGCGAGCCTGGCTCTCCTGACCACGGCTCCTGAATCTCCCCTGGAAAGTCTGAGAAACAATAGCTTGTATTCACACACTTCTCCCTATTGCCTTACGAGGTATTAACATTTTAAAATGTAAAGAATTCAGATATAGAAATCTCATCTTTTATTACCAACTACCCAGTCAAACACTATCAAATTCATCCTCGCCATTGATTTCAGTGCATGTAATTCTGTAAAGTAAAGCTCACAGGTGTGATTTCTCTCAAATTGATGTGGCAAGTGTAAAAGGTAATGATTATATGTTGCAAATACAAATTCAATTTTTTAAAAAAGGATTTATAAATAATAATATGTCTTCTCACTACAATGTAAGCTTCAAGAGATTGTTCACTGCAATATCTCCAGGACTGAGAACAATGGCTTACATGTGCTAGCCATTAAATAAATATCTGTTACATGAGTAATATTCTCTGACCTTCCATAAAACTATTGCATTGCATGGTTTATAACCTGGCACAATTTGTTTATATGTAGCTATAAGTTTCTCAGCAGTAGACAGTAGAAACCAGGAAGGGACAATGTCTATCTTGTACACCATCATTTTCTAAGAGCCTGGCACCACTTACATGCACTAAACTAAAGTTGAACTCAACTAAAGTGCATTCAACTAAAGTTGAATGAATTAAAGAAAGACCCAGATTGCGTCTCATTCATCTATCATCCTCAGTAACTAATCACACAAAACATGTGGCTTGATTCCTATTTGGTTGAAAATGTGTTTGGAACAGTGGAGGTGTACTCATTGCTGTGCTGAACTCAGAGGATGCCGCAGTGTTAGGTGTGGCTGCTCTGGGATGCTAGGCAACCTCTCAGCTCAGCCTGGCTGGCCCACTGATGTCGTTCTAGAAAAGGCCTGGGTTTTGGATGCCATCGTTCTTATTAAACACCATATGACGCCTTTGACCCCCTCCTTCCAAGGAGGGAAAAATAGAGAGAGAACAAAATTAAAGCTGTGCTTTTTGTGGCAGCTCACCAACTGAACCAGACCTGCACAAACCTGCCCATCACCCAGTATTTCTGTGAGATAATTGCTGGAAACGTGTTGAAGTTATCTTGGGGAATATTCCTAACTCTCACAGCAGTGAAAGACTGGGTCAATTTGACTGATGCTGGAGTCTAGGAGGGAGTGAGCCTAGTGCTCATTTTGTTTTAATTCTTTATTTTCTTCCTATAAAATACTATAGGAGACCTTCCTCACCTTAGATTAGTGGGACAGTAGCTGGCAGGACTTAGAGAAGTCTCACTAAGCTCAACATCCTTCCTTTAAAACAAACTCAAGTTTAAAGTACCAGATCCTGTTTCACTCAAGGTCCACTGGGTTCTGCCCCCCACTCCCAACAACAGCAAAGTCAGACTCATCTGAATTCACATTCTTGTTCTGTGGTTTGCTAACTTTTTAAACTGAGACAGGTTACTTAATGCTCTAAGCCTTAGTCTTTCATTTGTAAAATGCAATGACAATATGAGTCTGTACCCTGCAGGATTCTCGTGGGGATCAGATTCTATAGATATTTATATAATGGCTAATGAGGATTAGTTCCCAGATCTCTAATCCTCTTTATAAACTGCTTAGTATAGAGCCATAATAGGTCCTCCATGTGTGGTCCCAACAATTAGTAGCATTCCAATCACTGATGAGAACATAAAAACAGAAGGTGAATCTCACAGCTATACTCTCATATTGACTTCTGCTGTTCAGTTTCCTCATTATTAAATTGAGATAAAAACACTTATTATTTCTATTATTATAAATAAATACATGAGAAAATATAAGTAATCAGCTAATGAATGGCAATTGTTGTGGCATTTATTTTTCTACTCCTACTTCTGAGCTCCATCTTGTTGATATTCCACCAAGACAAGTGAGTTGATTTGGCAACTCAGGTTCCCAGAAGGGTGTACTTCCTCCTTTCTTCTCAATGTCTGCATCTTCCCTTCTCCATCCTGAGGAAGCCCTACAACTTCGTCACGAGGAGCCCCAAACACACAGGCAACGTGCACTATCTCCTTTACTGCTCCCCTTAAAGAGGAACAGAGTGGCCTTGGCATTATTTTAATTAAAATCCAGAGCTGGAAACACTTAAATGAGTCTTATTTTTCAGGGTGGTCAATGGTGACACTGCATATGTATTTTAAGGAATCAGAAGCTACGCTTCAAAAGGGATGCACTATATTTATATATGATAGGCACTCAATATTTCTTACTGAATTGAATTACAATTTTAAGTGGACTTTTAATTAAACAATGTATTTTTGAAACTAATTAATTTTATAGACTGACATGCTTATTGACTATTAATTCTTATGAGCCAAGCACTATTTGGCACTTTTAAGAACTATGCACATATAAAAAATAACTTGGGAGCCACAATTTCTGCCCTTAGAAGTTCTAAAATATTTCAACTATATATTACTCTGATGATTTTTGTGAAAGCAGGAAAGACACAGCATTGTTGTCAAATCAATGAATCAGACAAAGGACACAGTGAAACATATAAGACACTCTTCAGAATGCTCACTATTACTGTTGAAAATGATCTATGATTGTGATTAATTGCTTTTGAAATTTTGATCAAAATTGATCTGTCCAATTTTCTGGCACTGGCTTTGTATGTCAAATCTCACCCTGGAATTACATAAATCAATTTAGTCTGGACTTCTGTAGAAACTGGGGGGAGAAAGATAGAAGTAATTTCTGAGTTGTCAGTAACTGATGGATGTTCTGATTTCACAGTGTTAGTAAAGAAAAGGTCTTACCGTAGCTGTCATAGGCATCCTCACTTACTCCATGACCGTAGTCATAGTACTCAGGCACGCTGCAACAGATTTAGACAGCAATCAATGTTACTGTAATCAGGAGGAACTAACCCAGAAACTCATATGGAATTTGAAAGCAAAATGCATCCTAGGGTAATATCCCAAGAACCAATGGGCATAAAACACAGTCCTAAAGAAATATTCAGTAAGAAAATATAGATTATTTATAAGGAGTGCTATGATTTTCTTATGCCACCTCAGTACTTATTTATCTATATCCTCCAATGTTATAAATCAAATTTCCCCTAAAACACAAGTATAATACTTCAAAATTTGTCAAGAAGAGAGTTATAAAAGGCCTGTTTCCAGAAAAAGTGCTAGATAAGATGACAATCTGGTCAATTGTGTATGGCTTTTAATGCTGTTACCTTAAGAAATATGCATCAATTTCATCTTCACTTCCGAACTGAAATTATATTTATGCTCTCCTTCTAGTCCTTCCACAGCATGTCCATGCACTTCTCAAATATATAAGCTATTTATTTTCACTTGATATTTTGCTAGATGCTTCCACATTTCAATAACTGCCAAAAAGACGTTCTTCCTCCATTCTTACTCAAGTTACTTAAAGTCTTTCCCCACTATAGCTGTCATTACTTTGTCCTACAGCAAGTTTCCCCCTTTAAGGCACCATTCCCATCAGCAGCCAGACATATATCTCCCACTATCAAAGAGCCCTCCCTCACCCCCATATCTCCTTCTAGCGATTATGCCTTTCCCTGCCCTTTTTACCACAAAATTTCTTGAAAAGAGGTGACTCTGTTCACTCTTTCCACTGCCTCTCTCTTTCCATATGCTTTTGGAGACATTTCACTCAAGCTGTTGTCTCCACTGAAACAGTTCTTGTCAACATCTTGATATTTTTAAAACTAGTGGTCAAGACTTGGTTCTCGTTTTAGCACCACTGAACACAGCTGACCATTTCCTGCTCCTTCAAACACTTCCTTTGCTTCGGAGATGTCCTTTCTCTTGGATTTCTTTAGCTCACTTCATGTCCTCATTCTTCTCTACTGGTACCTCCATATTTTTCCACTCACTTAATCCTGGAGACCACTGGGGCTCAGTTATTACAATTTTTCTCTTTCCTATTCATACTCACTCCCTAGGCAATCTCATCTGATGCTATGGCTTTAATACCACCTCTACTCTGATGACTTCCAAATTATATGGCCAGCTTTGGCACCTCCCCCCTATTCTGGTCTCATCTGTCTGGTTGCCTACTGCACATTTCTATTTGGATGTCAAATTTAACATACGCAAATATAAAAATTTGATTTTCTTTCCAACTCAGACCTGTTTCTTTCAAATTCTTCCCATCTTTATAAATGACAACATCTTAATTAGTCTTACTCATGCCAAAAACCATGGAGTCCTCTCCTTTCTCTCACATCCGATGTTTAATCCAACAGCAAATTCTTTCACTTCTACTTGCAAAATATATCCAGAATTTGAACATTTCTAAACATCTCCACAGCTATGGCTGTGATTAAAGTTCTTGCCATCTCTCACTTAAATGAATACAATGTCCTTCTAACTGGGCTCTGTGTCTTGCTTCCTGTTTCTATTTTCCACATGGCAAAGTAATTTTTATAGAAGAAACTTAGATCAGATTAGGTCTCTATTCAAAATTCATCAATAGCTTCCCATATCCTTTAGAAAAAAAAATAAAAAATTCTTATTTTACCTGGACAATTTGGTCCCCTATTATTTCTTAGACCTCACCCCCTATGACTGTCCCCTTTGCTCACTCTGCTCAGGGCGCACTGGCCTCCTAGCTATTCCCTGAACATAACAAACACATTATTGTCTCACAGGCTTTTCATCTGCTATTCCCACTACTTGGAACACGCTTTTCCTAAATATGCAAATGTCCCCTCTCTCATTCTTTCAGAACTCATTCAAATGTCACTTATGAGAAGTTTCTCTCACTAGTCTATTAAACTAGCATTTACTCATCCTTACCTTGCTTTGTTCGTCTTAGTGTTTATCAATCACCCCTGTGCATATTATACAACCAAATACACAAATACACCTTTGTTTATTTACTTATTGGCTGTTTCCCACTTCTAGATAAGCTCCCTGGTATAGGACTTGGTCTCTCTTCTGTTCACTTGCTCTCATTGTTCCAGGCTGACTGTTCTAGAACAATGCTTGGCACATGATAGCTGCTCAATAAATATTTATGGAATAAAAGAGTGAATAGCTCATAGGAAGATTAGACACCATTTACATGAGTAGCCTAATGTAACTGCATCATAATTCTTTAAAACACTATACAAAAGTAGAAAATATTTTCGTTTAGCTCAGGATTTGGATAATGAATGCATAATTTTAATCTTACTTAGTGATCTATAAATATTTATGATTCATTATTTTTTACCTCAAATGAGCTCCTTCATTTAAAGTCCTCTGCCTGAATCTTAACTTATAAATTTATATATTACTAGATTACTAATTCCTTTTAAGTATATAAAAGTGTGGCAAGAAAATGGCTTAATATCAAATTCCAAATTGTATAAGGGCTGAGAGTGGCAACAGATGACAAAGTGTTAGGTTGGAAGGAAAGACAGAAAAGCCTAAAATTTTGTGGCTGTCATTCTCCATCAAGGGAATCTCACAGCTCTCATTATATTAAATACTTAAGATTTCATTGATAGTAAGGAAAGAGAAGCAAAAAAGAAAATAAAAGTCTATATATTAGAGACAAAAAGAGAGACAGAGAGAAGTTTGGCCATCTTTATCTTTCTGGAAGGCAATTGATATGCACGAATTCACTTTTAGTGTAAAGTAGCTGGGAAAAAATAAAAAAAAGATTACCTATTCCACCTTTCATTGCCCAGGATATTTATACACAAACTGTCTAAAAAAACATGGATGATAGCATGCTCTTCTCCCCATATTTCTAATGACTTGAGATTATAGAAGTCTAGGGCCATTGGCTGGTGGCTGGATGTTTATTTCTTCTTTCACATATTTATCACAATACGAATGATGCGACTCAACTGAGAATCCTCATATTGTGTAGCAAATTCTTGAGAGTTGCTACATTGATTCCCTAGATGATCAAGAAGTGGTTATGAGAATATGATTTAACAAGCAACATTCTCATTTACAGAGAAGAGAAAAAAGAGCAGTGACAGCAGCTTCTGCCTGCTTTCATCACAATCAATGATTTTTCCAGGAGTAAGCCTATGTGTCCCAAAGTATGCTGTGTGAAGACCAGTAGCACCAAACACTATTGAGTGGCATTACTATATTTCTCACTCAATTTCAATTTTAATTTTAATTGATGAAGAAAGAAGTGGGAAAAAGAACAGTATTGAGAAAATCATGACGAAGAAGCTGCATTGTCATCTACCATAAATGATACATACACACCAAGGGGAAATGTTAACTTTCAGAATTCTCAAAAGGGGAAAGTAGAACGTATAGGACATTTTAAAAATAATGGATACTGCAAAATAATGGAAAAGTAATGGATAATAATCATAATGGACTCTGCCAGAGTCTATACTTTTGCTTATCCAAATATTACTTCTCATTCTTCCGTAGGGAAATAGCCTATGTGGACAAATGGCTGCACAGTGAGTGAATGCACTCCCCAGCCACCCTTGCAGCTAGGTGCACCCTTGTGACTGAGCCAGGAAACATGGGACGTGTTTCCATGCACAGATGTGAGGGTGGCAACCTTGAGGTCACCATCAATTTAAGAATAAGCTCCTCGTCTTGGATTTGCCCACCGTCATCTTCTCTTCAGTTGGTAGAATGCAGTTACAGTAGTGATCTAGCATCTAGCAAATAAAGTCAATGTCCTAGGAAGTCATGGATGGCAACATGGGAGAAACTTCTGTCTCGAAACGATCACACTGGAGCAGGCTTACTCTAAACCACTGCCCACCTCAGGGATGGTGATGAGAAAAAAAATCTCTTTATCTTGTTTGAGCCAGTGAATTTTGAATCTCCCTGTTACAACAGCTTAGTTGAATATAGAAATCAGTATGTAGAAGTGTAGAACAGCCATTAAAATCCCAAAATATGGGGCATTAGCTTAGTGGGAGAATGGAAAGTGCAAGGAAAAAAATACTGTAGGGTAGAAAGCTGGTGACACTTGTTATGGCATTGACAGTGAGGACATGGACGGCAGGCTATAGGCCTGTGTATACTTTGGCACTACAGGAAAAAGCTGGGCCAAGCCCAACTGTTAGTAATCTTTCCTGCTTTCAGAAAAATTTACAAAAGATATGAGCTCAGATAAGAATGAGGCATTTTTCCAGAATAAACAAGAATGAATAGAACTTTGCTAAGGAAAGTTTTCTCTGCTTGATCTATGTGTTAGCTCTATAATTTAAAATAAGAGAGGGTTCAGAAATTTGAGCCTTAGCAAGATTAGAGAAGTCAACTGCTCCTGTATTCCAACAGCAAGAGATAATGAGTGTTGCTCAAAGATGCCCTTACATCTTTCCATTAGACTTTGCTGCCATATATGACCCCGAGAACCATCCTCAGGTCCCCAAACATGCACTAGCAGGAAGCATGCTGCAAAGCTTGTGAAGTCCCCTGTGAGGGCCTGCTCTACTTTACTCAATTCAGATAAGGCCATTCATCCATTAGAACAAGGAAGAACCTTCCAGTAAATCTGGCATAACTTCCATAAAAGAGAACCGAGGTTGCCAAATGTATTGACTAAAAAACTTATTTCGATGCTGTTGCTTAGGTGTCTTTTAATCTCTGCTTGGCAGGATTTTGTAATTATTATTGCCAACAGAGCCTTCAGTAGCCAGTAACATTCAGTAGAAACTAATGGGAGTTTCTATTGTAATTTTTCTGCTCCTTCTCCACCACTTATATGGGTATTTTGAATGGGAAAGAAGGTTGAGAGCAGGAAAGATAATCTGTCTATTATTTCACAGGTTGCTGGACTTCAAGGAACCAAGTCAAGACCTAATGTAGAGGTCTGCCTATTTCCCAGAGATTCTAAGCTGGTTGCAGTAATTGGAAT